CGAGGCACTTCTTGTTAGGCCTCAAGTCGAAACGGGCGGGGAATATTTGCGAGCAATAGTCATTTTGAATCCGATCAAAGATCTCATGATGATGCTTTTCAGGAATTAGCTTGAACAGCTGTAGCTTTGTTCCTATTGGATAAGCCATACACCAGTAATGCCCCGAATTCATCCGATCACCATTAATTGATCATCCATCTAGGAAAGACTTTATGATGGGTAAAGAAGATGATCAAGCAAAAGTTCAAGGTCCAAGGAGTATTACAGTTTTCAGTAGATTCTCCCTTGACCTGCTTTTCACTCTAATTTGCTCTGTAAAGAAGCTGTCCCTGTATATGAAGTGATCTAAAGGTTGACCTATGAGGGAAAATGATATTCGTTACTACGAGGGCGAAAATAGCGTTGACCACCCCACCACAATTATTCCCAAATGGTTACACGCCACGTATGATTTACATTTCTATTTAGCTGATGTTTCCTTTCCCATGACATTGGAAAGCTCCCTTTCAATGTTGCTGAATCATTCTCACCGTGGCACCCACTCGATTTCTGCTAGCAGCTTCAGCTGACGATTCAATCTATAAACAATAAACTTGAGATTTTTACATGATAGGGGAGGCCGATGGGAAAGGACGTTTAAGCGATTGGTCGATGCTTTGATACGATCTTGTTTCGCGTCTAAAATGTCACGCCGACCTCCGTCATAGTAGGTTGTGGTGGCTCGTGCTCGCTAAATCGTCCTATTGTCAGTCAAGGCACCTCCTTCCACCGTTGATGGTCCCTCCCCTTCCACGCTTACGGTTCGTCCGCCGTCTCAATGACAATGGCAGCATTTGTCTCACAGCGGAGGCAACCCGAACCCCTCTTTCCCCCACGTATTGTACTCTGCACTATCCGCTGAACGCATCTGAATAACATTCACTGTTTATTCGAATTTCATATCCGTGTTGTCACGTCCTCCAATGCAAAAGCGAACAATCAGATGAGCTTGCTAGTCACGGCGTCCCCCAGTTCCTTTCTGAAAACAATTTTTTGTTTTAAATTGATTATGGACTCTATCAGACTTACCCGTGACTTTTTTCTTTGTGAAAGCTTCTTATCAGAAGCTACCAGATGTTTTTATTTGCACTGCTGAATAGCTGATGCTCTGATGGTAACTAAGCGAGACCGAAACTGGTGCATCCCGATACACTGTTTTCTGTTTCCCTATTGCAGTTCCCAACAAGTTGCCATCCTCCCTCATTTGACAATGATGAAGTGCCTCGTGCCCGAGTGCCCGATGCTTTCACAGAAAGCATTGGACCATCTCTCCGTACCGATCCATTTCCAAACACAACTGCTTATTCTGAATGTTAGGGACTGTCCCTTATCGCTAACAATGTTCACCTCGTTATTACCAAGATGTTGGCCATGCAACTGCTTTCGGAACGTTTGAACGCCGCAGTGGACAGATAGCTTAAAGTCATGTAGTAATGGGCACCCAGGTCACTTGGGGATTCTCGATGCTCGTGCCGACATCTTAATGGGCTTGCTCAGATATTCCACACACGCCTAAGACGTGTGTGATCCTCCCCAATGTCTCTCCATCTACGGCTTGTTCACGGAGGCTTAATGGCCTGAACGCCCGGGATAATGGGTTCTGACTGGCTAAGTAGTCGTAGCACCCGACCAACCCTATATACATCATCTCATTTTGGAGCATGATGACCTGATAAAAGTTCGGTCATTTCGCAGCTGAGTTGTAAACTTTTGGGGTTGTGTTCGTGCCACTGGAGCTAGATACTTTCATGATCACGATTTCAGTTATATCCTTTTTTGAACAGCATATGGGCTTATCCACTATCTTATCATTTCCCCCTCAACGGTTATACCCTTCACGAATAAGTTCGGTTCCATGAATAGTCAGCACTCAATTAACGACCCGTTCTGTGGGGATTTTACGATTTTTCATATAAACGTTTAATATATTCGTTGAATCGAATATTTAAAGCCAGAAAGGCTCCTGAAAAGTCGTCAGCTCCTCGATTTGACAACCGTTCACATCGCAATTTTTGTTTTCTTTCTGTTTGCGTGGCCTAGGAGTCTTGTCCCAGAAGGACAGGTTCCTACCTGCTCCGCCTTCTTTGTACTCAAATCCTCACTCTAATCCTGATCTTTACAAGCCCATTCGTTTCGAGCCTCCCATGCGGCCGTCATTGCTCATTTCGTAGGGAATTGCCGTGTCTCAGTGCATTTGATGGAGCTAATAGAATTCTCGCACACTCGGACACTCAATGGCAATATGATATGCCCACTATTGCAGGCTGCCGTCACTTTTCAGCCGTGTTCTTTGATGACAGCGATATCCACTGATGACATCTCCTCGGGTGGTGTTGTATTTCGAGCCATTCTTGCCAAAATATTCTTCCTCTGCAAAGGGATTCGCTCCGATTACGTGGTCCCATCGCTGCACCCACAATCTACGCCCAGGGGGTGTTCCCACCGGCGCTTAGCTCCTCCTAGCCTCGTTCCCATGCTCCCAACTCTTTTACGCTGTCATGTGTTGGATTTGCTCGAGTCTTTGCTCTATGGTTCTAAGATTTTTTGTATTCAAACCATTTTCAGTCAATGCGCCGGTACTAGACAATTTTGCAATGTTACTACGGATTATTTGCATTCTCCCACTTGTTGGATATGTGTTTGCTGTGGTAAGAAGTGAGTTTCTTTTTTCACTCATGTAAATTACGAACTCAGCGATTCACCCTCAAGAGATTTTTAGTTGACAAACGGAAGTAGTAGGAAGTTCGCTGAGAACAAATGCAAAACTGAATCGTGATTTGAAAAAGAACCTCTTCACTTTTGAGCGCTGTGATGACAACTCCTCAGATCTTCTCAAGTTTTCTACTTCCAACAGTTTCCCATAACCCTTCGATGTCTCGAGGGCCCTCAGAACGTTTTACAATCGATGCAACAGGTTGCGAAGACGGAAGCCGTCGGACGCACATGGCGGAAGACAAAGCATCGCTGGCTGAAACGATGCGAAAATGTCTCGTATTTGCATAACGTTCACTTTTCCAAGTGCTGGAAGGATTGGGAAAGCTTTTAAAGGCAATAGAACCAACTGAAGTATAGGGAGCGTCTTTAGAGCTATTTTGTCGTGGTTCGTGCTCTCTGTACCAATTTTTACAATTGAAAGCTCTTGTGTCCAGGTTTCCTACCGAGTTTTCGATCCCTTGCAGTGATTCGAAGGTGATAAACCTTCCTGTTGCACCTCTTTGCATGTGCAAGGGAACAAAAGACCTTGCTCAAGAGGCACTGTTGCCGTCTTGCCGGCAACCATAAATACGAGACGTCCTGTGTAGCGAAGATCTCCGTCACACCGCCACGATAACATCGGCGCCGAGTGTGTGTCTCGATTTGCTTTTTCAGGAATAAGAAGCGGAAATATTGATGTCCCCTGAGACCTCCTAGGCAAGTGTTGCAATAAAATGACTTTTAAGTGAAGCTTATGGGATTTTTACAATGAGCAAGGTGTTTCCACACCGGAACTCACAACTGTCTCTTTGCTCTTTCATCTACCGCCACGTTGGATTGAAGTGCCGGCGGAACCTGTCATACCCGTCACTTAATTACTCACCTCTAGGATCTTCGCGGGTCAACGGTCAGGTGACGGTCTGAGTGTGAAAAACCCAGTTTACGGTCCTTTGCTCAGTTCTCTGTCATGTCGGCGGCTAGAATTATTTTCGAAGCCACTATTCGTGCCAGTTTTCAACCGAAAACCTTTTCCTGAGCACCTGCAAGGTCTCAGTGGCCTAATTCAATTAGGTGATTCAATTGGGACCTCACATTTAAAGGATTTGAATTAAAAGACATGACGTTTCACTAGTGAGTTGTTTGATTCGAAGTCAACCATCGCTGTTGAACGTTGGTAGTTACGAGATTTGTTGCTCAGAATCTGGGTCAGGACGCATTGAGGGAAGACCGGTTGCAATAAATTAGCTAGAAGCAGGTTGTTCCTGGTCAGAATCCGTAAGCTAAATTCAAACCTTGTCTCCGAAACCACCAACATGGTACCATAAGATGAGTTTCTCTAGGTTGCTTCAATCATATAAATCAACATAGCTATTCAGTTCAGTGCTGATTGATGTGCTAGGTTCGGAGATCTCACTAAGCTCCTGTGGGCCATCAATCCCAATCCCACTAACGGTGGCACCTGATCGATGTCAAAAATCGTGGAAACCGTGACGATTTACGGCCACTTAGGCAGGTGTCAGGGCACGTCACTATCGCTGTATAATGGTTGTCAGTGAGTATTACTGCAAGCCTAGCTACAGGCCTCTACTTCACCGTCCCCACTGCTAGACCCTTTCAGTGTTTGGCAAACACAGTTGCGCAAGCAGCGGCTTACCTTTCAGGAAGGATCAACTAGTGGGTGACTGAGGTACGTATCCTAATATTTCAGGGGTCAGCGAATGATTCTATGGGCCTCTGACGCCGATGACGAGTGCTCTACATCCAGTGACTGGTTGTTGAATGTGTTCATAAAATCAGCTGCCGATTGATTGTGATGTGGCTGAGGGGCGATTGGCATAAAAACTCAGCCACATTTGCTTGGCGGTTCGAGTCATAAACTGAGAATAGCCCTCTCAACGACCATGTCCGTCTTCGAAAAACTACGGAATTTATTCGCCATTGGCTCACGTCCCCCTCAAATGTCTCCGTGGAATCGCGTGTGGCGAAGCGATGATATCCGAGTCGCAGCCCTTGTCATGTACCAACAGCAAAGCGCTTGTTAGGTCAGCGAGCCTGAAAAGCAACATGAAAACCTTCCGACTAGGTCAGACCCGGTGGCGATCCATTACCGCAGGTGCCCTAACGAATAAACACAGTAACCTCGGAAATGACAATGGTAAAAAAGAGGGACACGGCCAATCACCTTCTCCTACTTTTCGGTTACTGCACCCCATAGTTTTCGCCCAAAGAGCAAGAACATTTTCCGAAGCACCTCATTCACCATTCTGATGGTAGAAAGGTTCGAACTCCGTTTTGCTAAATTGTTGAAATCAGACAATGTCGGAAACAATGCTTTTCGTAATGTCTTTTTAGAGAGATGTGGTGAGCCATTAGGTCTAACAAACGGACGAATTAGAGACGACCAACTCAGTGCGTCATCGTCTTTTGATGCAGACAGTACCGGTCCTCAACACGCCAGGTTAGATAATCTTCTGCTTTTTTGAGGTTCGAAGGGTTTCCTATAGCTGTTTGTAGTTACACATGCCATTTTTGAGGAAAGAAAGTATGCAACCTAGCATTCAAAAGCGTCTTTATTCCTTAGTATGAGGTCTTTATTCCGGTTCGGGAGAAATGTTTGCCAAGCTCAAATCACTTCGTTTCCAGAAGAAACCTGCTTGGGAAAATAATGATTATGACTGTCACAAAACTGCTCACGGGACTCCTTTATTTCTCCTATTTCGAGTACCCATTTTTGCGAACCTGGTAACTGTTGAAGTAATCATTTGGAGAAGAAGGTTTCAGTAAGCAAAGAAAAAATTGGTGAAGGGACAACAGTAGAGATTATTTGATGCTCCGATAGTGACCATTAGCCTACGCTAAATTCTCTAAGACGCAAAGACTCAAACGGTAAGTTTGTAGAGGTCCGGACAGTGAGATTAAGGGTTTGCTTCAAAGTAACGTCTACAAGGGCCTCTGACTGTACTTAAAGATCCGGTTTTGCTCCAGCCCTCACGAAAGCAATGATAAGCTTGAAGGCACGGTCCATCAAAATTGATCTTGAAATTTTTTTCGCTTGTACGACCTAAGCATGCTATATGTGTTGCTGTTGTTCGAAAACGGTCTAGATAAGGGCTAAAAGCCTGTTGGAGGTCACACACAACAGCGCCCCTGTTCTAGCGGCATTTCAAAGGTAGCATCATTCACCATGGAGCACATATGCTGCAAACTGAAGCAGATGATCATCCGGCGATCTGTTCATACCGATAATATTAGACACTTTTTCTTTTAAGCAAGGATACTGTAGATAGCTATTCACGTAGTTGTGACCACTTATATGCGACGTAGTTGCACACCACTTAGATCTTACGCAGACACTTTTTACATCGTGATGAACTCGTACAACTCCAAAATCTCAATTATCAGCCCAGTACTTAATGTATTTCTGGGGAACTGCTTTTTTTACCTGTTTTTCTTGCTTTTTTTCCCTTTATTCGCAGACATTTGGGGCCCCCAAAACCGCACTGAAGTAATTATCTAGTTTGCGCGCTCTGACGGAGTGCTAACCAGGCTGGTAAGTAGGCTGGATACAAGTTGAAAGCAATGTGGTCTTATTACTTTTCTTGCTATCCCCTGGCATCGTACAGGTATGTAGGGGATTAGTGGTACCGGTCGAAAGTAGTCGAGGATGACAAGTGCTTAGTACTGCGCTACTGCTAATCTTGGAAAAACTTGGACGTCAAAGCTTTGTACACAACGAGTACCAGCTTCCATTCCATAAAAAATGTTTTGTTTACAAATGCTACCGTAATCTGACTACACCTAGGAGAGTTCTCGTTCCCTACTCATCAGTTGAAGACTGGGTGAGGGCTTTCAGAGCTCGGGCACAATGCCTCAGTTGAAATATTCGAAGTGGTTTAGGTGATTCGCCGAAACACTGTTCACTTATGATAACCAGACGTCCTCGTTAACGCATAATAACCGTCCACATTAAGCTGTTGACTCTACAGATCGTCATGCCGTGTGTTTCGGTTCAATTAGGTGGTTTAGGCTTTGATGAGCAGTTGCAGTATACGCTTCATGGAGCAAATTATCGAGTTAAATTGTTTTCGCCAGGCCTACTCAGCCAGTTAGCCTCCTTCATTGGCATCCATATGTCAAGGGAATATTTACGGGTGTCAAGCGGGTCCCATCACAATGTTACAACCTCCCCCATCACACGGGAATATCCGGGAAGGGCCAAGTCCATTTTCATCATTGGAATTTTGGCGTCCGATTACGAAGACCGCATCGGAAGTGCGGACCACGAAGCTAATTGAACTCAACGAATCGTAGAGAAATTGAAAACGCTCGAACAGCCACCCGAGCTCTGGAACTAATAACCAAAAGAATTTTCAGGGCTCGTACTCATACCGGCAGTGGTGCATGGTGTCCGCTTCACCAAGTAAATAACACTCACAAGGAATGGATCCAAATAACTTTCGCGAGGGACACAGGTCGGTGGCGTGCGTTTTTTTTTGGGGACTTTTCATGTCCCAGCAGCGTCGTTCCCAATGACTCAAGTTTTTGTTTCAGTGGTAAGTGCTGTGGAAGTGCAAGGACGCTTCGACGAGGGTCGGGGAATGGAGTTTGCCAAAGCGTTTAAAATCGAATACTGGCGACCAAGGCTCACTGGTTGGGCTTCATATAGGAGTGAAGAAGGTCTCGAGGTTAGTTTAGGAAGGTCTCGAGATTTGGGAAGGTCGTCTGGAATGACTGAGTGCCGACCTCGAGTGTTGGGTGAGCCGATTAACTAGGCAATGGTTCATCTTGGATGCGTACAGCTGATCGCATATGGCATCTAGTGGCATTTGCGATTCAGACACAATGTCCATGAGAACAGCAGATGCTGCGAGCCACGCACATAGTCGCAATAACGACGATAAGAACCACCGGCACCCACGCAAAGGGATTAACTAGACAGTCAATCCTCGATGAGGGATTGAGGGAGCGTTCTGAATCACAGTGAATCAACCTCCTGAAATCCAAAAATGTTTCGAGAATTCTGCGAGGGTCTTACCAGATCTTCCAAGTGCGAAAAAACTGAAAAAGTTGATTGGATCTCACTCAAGAGCCTTACCCGTTCTCAGTTACTCTACTATTAGTGAATCCTTTCTTTTTGCTGTGAACAGTTCAATTAGCTTTGAAAGCAGTTAAGTGAAGATGTCTGAGAAATGTTTTGAGCAGGAGACTTCAACGAGTTCATGAAATCTGTCCTGGGCCTTCAAATGACCCCCTCCNAGCAGATGCTGCGAGCCACGCACATAGTCGCAATAACGACGATAAGAGCCACCGGCACCCACGCAAAGGGATTAACTAGACAGTCAATCCTCGATGAGGAAATGGGGTAGCGTTTCTATATCGTAGTGGATCAACTTCCTAAGATTCAAAATGTTTCGATATTCTGCTGGATCCCCCGGATCTTCCACGCGCAAAAAAAAACTGAAAAAAACTGAATGAACCTCACTCACTCAGCCTTACCCGTTCTCCGTTATTCTACTATTAGTGAATCCTTTCTTTCTGCTGTGAATAGTTCAATTAGCTCTGAAAGCAGATAAGTGAAGATGTTTGAGAAATGTTTTGAGCAGGAGACTTCAACGAGTTCATGAAATCTGTCCTGGGCCTTCAAATGACCCCCTCCCACAGACTTCCTAGCCCATCTTCCACACAGCGGCATTGATCACTCATTGAGACAGAATAATATTCTAGCAAAGCCTATAGTGATACTAATAGTATGATACTGAACAGTCACTCCACAAATTGATTTGGGTTGGAGACCTCATTCATGGTCACAATGCATGGTAGTGGCTGGCCACTGGCCCAAAAATGCTTCCTAAGAGAAATTTTTTCGGAAATCAAAATTCGTAGGAATGGGTGTAGAAGTCTCGATATTTGGGTCCTATATAAAGGTTTCGAGCTAATAGGTTAGGTTGCATGACAACTCTTTTCGCATCCTCAATATACGCTTCGCTCTACCGTAATCCTTTGCTATACGGTCATGTTTGATTTGTCCTTAGAAGTTTTACCATCGGAGTTGATTAGACGAAATGACTCTTATAGGATTGTTTATAAGAGCTAAATCTTCGGCAATACAAGAATGTTATACTGTGCCTTTGAAGCCGTTTACATCCATGAAAGTTCCGAGACAGACCGCATAATAAAAATGACCGTGAAAATGGAATGGTCAGAGCAAACATCTATTGCCACCTAAATTTTCTTAGTAATGACTGAATGACAAAAAGGTGGTAGAAAGGTAGCGTGGAAGATCACTGGAGTTGCTGCCAATTAAAGAAGGTATTTGAAAAAAGATAAACAAAGACTGCAAAGATTCATTACGTGACAGAAAGACTATAGGAATGTGCTGAGCTAAGCTGTTGCCTTTTTCGGTTTTTCCCTGCATTTGATGTTTGGGGCTAAATCCGAAAGATCTACAGTGCAGTGTTACCGCTCCGCTCCGAAAATAGCGAAAGGAACAGTCTTTTTTGGATAACCTGAAGAGTTTTGGCATGACGTTCAAAAGACAATCCCATTCGCTTATTGACGCAATCTGAAGGGATTTCTCACCCCATGGCCTCCAGGTTTTTCTCCGTGAAAATAATAAATTACAGTGTTTTGCCGGTCTTTAATTTCGTGCTTTCGAATGACTGGTTAATCCAGAAATGATGGGATTCTGTAAATCCGATTAGTCACGCAGCATGAGCGCATGGCTTGCGCCCACAATCGGTTGCGCAAACGAGCTGTACGTTAGTTGCGCGACGTTAAGATCCTCAAAATATCAATCACTAGGTGTGGGGATCAGTGCCAAGGAGTTATTACCGTACACACAGGGCGTGTTGTCCAAAAAAAATTTATTTGCACATCAATGACTCGTTCTCGAAGTAAAGATAATGTTTATGCTGGGGAGAACGCTTTTCACCCGAACTCTTCAGTCCGACTTCTGAAGAGAATCACCTCGATTTCACTGCCTGTAAGGTTGTCCTGCATATCGGGAGAGTTCTCTTCTTCCATTGGCCAAGTATTTATTCTCGTTCCCTTGTGCGTTTTGATTCCATGCTTTGGCTCGAAAATTTTGAAAACGGAGAGCGAGTAAAGATTAGATAAAGACCGGTATAGATACAATTAGGGTAAGAATGTCCTCTAAAATGCTATAAAAATGTCAAAAAAGGTAGAATCCTCGTACAAAATTAAATTAATGGGTTTGAAAAATTGTCCTTCAACTGTTCACTCATAGCTTGAAAAGTAAGTTCTCTAGCCGTTGCTTCAGAATTATTGAAACCATTTGCAGATCATTCCTGGTAACAGCGATACCCGGACGGCCGAAGTTCGAGTTTTGGATGCGGGTATTGTGGTTCGCCGAATTCGGGTGGTACCATTGTCCAACACCACAAGGACTGTCTGCCTCCGATTAGAACTATACGGCTGTAGTTATGAAGGTCCTTAACTGACAGTGATTTCGTCAAAGTGAAAGGACAGCATGTGACGATAGCCAATTTTCAGATGCTCTTCAATCCTACTCAGCACCTGTGGGCTCGGTTACCGAGGAAGGCTCCTTCGTAGATATAACTTACGATGGCCTCATTTCTAAGGATATAGCCGACGGTGGTTTGGGCCAGCTGAGCGACGGTATAATTGGAAGTGATCCGGTCATTTCACCCCATCGGTGGGTTGGTTGGAAGAAGGACGTCGATGGAGGTTAGAATTATACTCCTTTTCTATCTTTATTTACCTTCTCACTGAAAATTACTTACAGATGGGTATGTCAGTTTGCTGTTTACCTTTTCCGAGGTCCGAAACTTTTCTGCAGTCGATCTACACGTAGCCCACTCGTTGCAGCTGGGAGCACAGGTGAGAATCAGGATTAATTTAACAGGATATTCATCAAGGATAAACTTAGAAAAAATGAACATGAAAGCGACATTTCGCTTTGCAGGTATTCTCCCGAGCAGTGGTCTCTTTTTCCGCTAATGGAGCCGATTTTTCTTCGCGCTTGGTTGAATTCTTCCCACAGCAATTGAGTTTCCCGTCATGGATCCGAATTCCCATTCCCAATCGAGTCGCTGCCGTCTTGAAGGTAATCATTTCTGAGCCCACCTTTTTTGATCTTCTATCATTAGCCGCTTTTATTTGAGGTCTGTTTATATTTCCCGACGGGATCTGCGTGGCTCCTGCTGTCGGAGGTTCATTTCGAATCAAGCGCTGCCCGACTCGAACTGATTCACTTCGACTCAGACGAGGAGCGCTCGGACAGTATCACCTATTTCTCCGTCGACGAGTCCGATGAAGGACGTATTGGCACTTTGAGTGAGTGCACCTTAACATCTGGATTGTTCTTAATGAATACATACTATTACAGTACTCCTATGTCTACTTACTTTGACCGTCATCTTTCCACTCCTCGTAGTCTGCTTCTACAGAAAGCGTGACAAAATCCGAACAGCTTCGCCGCCTCACGGCTTTAATGGAGGAGTTTTTAAGGTGAGTGAAAGTCTGGGACGTATACGTAAGGCAGCACCTCCTAAAAAGTCATTCCAGACAATTTCACCTTCTACTTATCAGATGGCCAGGGACAATATGGAGAATGCATTGTTGGAAAAATGCCCTATGATCGTGATCTCGTCAGATTACGCAGAGCCGATCTTCTCCAGGTATCTATTTCTGTTCGAAACGATTGAGCTTGTTGGAATGACAGAAGTTGTTAGTGGCCTAGTTCAAATTCGTTCGTAAGGGGGCACATCTGGTAGATTGAGCACACATATATGACGCTGAAGGAAAGCCTCTTGCGTGGTAATATGCTGCTCTATGTAGTTGAGACCATAGATTACTAGTTCCAGAGACAAATCATCCTTGGAACCATTGCTGAACTCTTTCCATAACCAAGCCATGGACGTATCGCACTACGCTGATACCAAAGTTGCAGGGTCAACACTGAGGTAAAACATTTTACTATGTACAAAGCCCTGGTCTGGTCACAATTTATTTTTCTTTTGATGGAGTTTAATTTCTTCCTGTTCCGATAAAAAAAGGGTGGACGCTACGCCTAAGCCACTTTTTCCATTTTCAAGCCTCCCGTACCCAATCTCCTGAATTTCAAGAAATTTTTAGACTACTTCATTACACTATGCTCTGCTATCACAACAACTATCTTCAATATTTGTTTGTTACAGGAATCCGCTTTC